CATCTTCGACCAAATCAGAATTATCTCCTGTTACAAACATAACAAACCCGATTCAACAATCATATATACTACACGAATAGATCCATTTTTTAAGTGTACAACATATGCAAACGAACCTATTGAAGAAGATCAAAGACGTTGGGAAGATCTCGTCCTCGTAAGGATTCTTGAACGTATGAAGAAGAATATGAATGGAATAGGATTTTATTTTCTTCAAGGAACCCAGACGGATCAAAACTGCAAATGAGATCAAACCATGTTTATGAGTTACGGATTCTTTATATTATAAAAGAAGAAAAAAATGTTTTGTTGTTATAAACAAACCTAAATTTATGGAGAGGGTGTCTCCCCGGTTTAAGCAAAAAAATAACAAATACAAAAACTTTGAATATCAAAGATAAGGAAAAAAAGAGGAAGATTATGAAGACGCTTGAGTTCTAAAATTGGAATAAATCAGGGTTTAGTTTTTTTAGAAAAAATTTATAAACGTCAATAAACAAAAAACAATTACAAAAAGTAAACGGTTTTAAATTTCTTGCCACAAACGCTACTTGAATGTGGGGGTACGAGGAACGGGTTTACCGTTTGACCGTTATCTCCGATAATTGTATTTTGAAGGTTATCCTCGTTATTTAATATTGTCTGACGCTTCATATGAATTTACAAACAAAAGTCCTTTAAGAATCAAATTAATTAAGTTTGACTGAATTTACGCAATACATTCTTCTGTTGTCCTTAAAAAAGATACTAATTAAATACGAAATTCTATACACTACTAGAATATATTTTGAAATAATTCTATAATTTCGTAATCCATTAAAATCTCATCTAAACATCCTGATCTAATGGATAATTTGAAGCAAACCTAGTCTTCTTTTTATTTTATTTTTACAAACAACCAGAGTCAAAATGGCACAACTTTATGGGTCATGGGAGACATAGTCAATGCTTCAATGATTTTAATTAAAAAAAAAAACATTTGTAAACTAAACTCAAAATCAATTGATTAATACTCCATCAGTTCCTTATTAATCAAAATTCTAGATTTTTCGCACATATTAAAAATTGATCATAAATGTATTATTTTTTGTGATTAACAATTTCCACACTTTAAAACCAATAATATTCAATAATTTTTTAAAACTCTACTACGATTTTTCATTAATAACTAATCAAAAAATCATAGAAAACTTTGTGTCTTTTTGCAACGTAACAAACTTTTTTCTAAATTTGGGATTAGTAAAGAACTTAATAGTGCAGTGATCATAAGTGAGGAGGTGTAAGAGGAATAATATTAATGATGGATACAAAGAGTTGTCGCAGTTGTTGAAAAAAAGGTTGTGGTCTGGATTTCTTTAGGCTTAATGGAGGACCTACGCGGCCTTTGGGTTTATATCCCTTGAGTGACAATTTATTTGGGCGTTCATCTAAAGGCCCATTACAAAGCTCATGAAGGCCCAACACAAATCCATTAAAAACAAACTCTTATTGACTAATTCTACAACTTCCCTTGATATATTTGTAAACGTTATGCTTAAATCATAAAACAACAATCTCTTAGACCATATACATAGCTGATATATTTAGAGTATCAAGAGTCCATAAATCTATATATATAATAGGAGAGTTTTCTCTCCTCTTAGGGTGTCCACATCAGTGACACATCAGCATACACGTCATCATAAATTTTTAATATGTACAAAATGTCACTAAAAAGATTCGAACCCATTAGCTTATGCATTTAGTGAATGCATCTCAGACCAAATTACCACTTAAATCATTTTGGTTTATAACAAAATATAAACTATATATATTACCTTATACAAGTTCCACATAATTTATTTTTTTAAACAAGAAACATTAAAAAAAATTTAATTCATATATAACTTTTATATCATCGTCTTTTAATAAAAGAAAATATTTTTTCATAAACAATAACAGGATTTAATATAAATAAAAAGTAATATAATACAACACACAAAACTATGTGATAAAAAATAAGATAAATATACAAGTACACATTTCAATTTCACACAAAATAAGAAATGATTTACTTTTAAAGAAAAATAAATTTTTAATTTTTTTTAAAAATAGTGTTAAAGTCGAAAATTCTGTTACCGATAAAAATATTTAAAAATATGAAAAGATACTGGTTAAATATAAAGTAAGATAATTTCATTTTACTTAGAATAAGTAGTAATTTATTTTTAAAATAGAATATTTATTTATAATTTCTAAATATATTTGTTAGTAGTAAAGTACAAAATTTATGTTACCAATTAAAAATTTAGAAAAATTCATTGTATATTAGTAAAATTCAGAAGCGTTGGAGATTAGAAGAAAAAATGTATTCATTGGAAGTTTGATGTTCTTTTTGGTGTTAATCTTCACTTTTGATGTTCTTTTCTACATGATTCATCTCCAAACTCGAGTACTTCAAGATTAACAAGATTACCATACTAGAAACAGCTGCAACAAAATAAAATTCAAAATAAGCAAAAATCTAAAATGAAGAGTTGTTAAAATAAAAATATGCATATAGATATCAGAAATGGATGATAATATCCATAGATTTCCAACAACATTTGGTATATTAAAAATGTGAAAGAAGAAATAGTCAATGTGGTTGAAAAAAAAATTAGGTGCTATGAAAACACACAATGAAAATAGAGAAATTGTTAAAAATGCCCCTTTTTCAATACCCTTTTTCAAAAATGCCCCCTTTGAGAGTCCATTTTTAAGTTTGCCCTTTTTTATTTTTTAATGACCATTTTACCCTTATTTGAAACAAAATTAGGTCCACAAAATACAAAATATTTTTTGGCGGCAAAAGTGATCCCCCAATTTTCCCGCCAAAACACTTGTAAAAACCTTTAAAATACCTTGTAAAATTTTTTCGTAAAAATTTTTCCCGCCAAAAATTTTTTTTTGCGGGAAAAGTTATTCCGCAATTTTTTTGGCGAAATTTTTTTGGCGGGAAAATTTTTGGCGGGAAAAATTTACAAGGTATTTTAAAGGTTTTACAGAGTATTTACAAGTGTTTTGTAAAGTTTTACAATGTATTTTAAAAGGTTTTACAAGGTACTTATAAGGTTTTATAAAGTATTTACAACTTGTAAAATACTAGTGAAAAAGGAGCATTTCTAACACTGTCTCTATTTTCAT